AGCGCATAACGCATATCGCTTATCGAAAACTCGAAAGTCGAAACTCAAAAATCGCATACCTTATTATGCAAATAGCGCATAGCGCATAGTGTATAGCGCAAAGCGCATGGCGCATAACGCATATCGCTTATCGTTTATCGAAAACTCGAAAGTCGAAACTCGAAAATCGCATATCGCGTTATGCAAATAGCGCATAGCGCATAGTGCATAGCGCAAAGCGCATAACGCATAACGCATATCGTTTATCGAAAACTCGAAAATCGCATATCGCGTTATGCATATAACGCATAGCGCATAGCGCATATCGTTTATCGAAAACTCGAAAGTATAAACTCGAAAATCGCATATCGCGTTATCCATATAGCGCATAGTGCATAGCGCATAGCGATTACCGCATAGCGCATAGCGCATAACGCATATCGGTTATAGAAAACTCGAAAGTCGAAACTCAAAAATCGCATACCTTGTTACGCAAATAGCGCATAGCGCATATCGCTTATCGAAAACTCGAAAGTCGAAACTCGAAAATCGCATATCGAGTTTACATTGTTACACAGTGCCCATAAGTTTATACACCTTCATAATCTGTGCTGTGAACCATACATATTTTACACTTAATGTTTTAATGTGTCTCCCAACGTGGCAATACGTCTAAAACTCTCAACAAATTTATTAACTTAATTAATTTGAAAGATCTTTCACAAGCAAAACTCGCAACTTATTCGAATACTTTACTATTATAAGATACCCTTTGGTTGAAAATCAGTTGCTTATTTCATATTAATTGGACTTTATTATGACTAGGAGCTGCCGCCATTATGGAAAAAAACGTAAAAACGTAAAAAGCAAAAAGTGAATTGGTTTATTTTAAAAGAATGTGGGTTTATTTTTGAGTGATATTTTATTTTCTGAATTTTTGTGTGTTGACAATAGGTATGATTTTGGTTATGTTGGTTAGATTTGATATTTGTGTTTTAGGTTAGTGTTTTAATTTGATGTTGACAATATTTTATGATGTAATATTATTTGATTTGTGTTTAGGATTAATGTCTATGTTCGTGTGTTATATTTTGTTGTATTGTTGCAAATGTATAAGGTTAGGATTTTTACTTTTTATTGTTCTGTTTTATGGCAGTATCAGCAAGGTTAAGGAATTAAGCGGGCCATAAGTACATACATGATGGATAAGATGTAAAGCAATAGTAAAGATATCAGGAGTAAGTTTAAGAAGTACAAGATAATAAGATTTAGTTTATTCATGTCAAATGATTTGATCCTAGGTACTGTTTTCCAGTGTGACCATGTATTCAATGTTATAACGAGCTCCCTGCAAACCGAACCAAGCAAACAGAAAGGTAGAGCTAAAGTTTAGGATACATCGGTCTTAACAACGTACAGCACTGAGAGGGATCCCTTACAGTTCAATACATCATTGCGAGCACTCTCCGAAATATTTGGCCTATGTGGCATTGTGTATGATGTAAGTTCGGAGTGTCATTTAAGTGGATGTTTGAACATTGTGTAAAAAGGGACGCCCTAGGTATTATCAGTATCCTAGAGATTGTAATGACAAGATGTAAGAATGAGAAAAGTTGCAAAGTTATTGGCGAGCGGATGAGAGAGGTAGGTAACAAGTAGATTTAGATTTTTAGCAACAGCAAGTCGCACCACATTTAACAACATATATATTTTAACAATTTAGGTCAAATGTTGTGAGTGGTTATTAGCAAATATGATTTAAGTGCTGATGTTTTTGTATTTGGGTTGTCTTTTGATATTTAAAGTTTATTGATAGTTACCTAGAAAAGAGATGTTTTTTCAAGTTAGATCATACAGTCCACTGTTCAAGAAGTTATGAGGCTATGTTGTTTTTGTATTTGTCACCATCGTTTTAAGTTCTCCCCCACATCGCATGGTGGGCAGGACAGTTTTGTGAAGAACATTAACAATGTTCTTGGTGGGCGGTATGTTGAGTGCAAAATGCAACCTCTTTGGTTGACAAGCAGTATTTATACAGCCAAAGAGGTTGCATACTGGCCACCAAGGCAATAATCGTGTGTAAAAGAATATATATAAAAAGAAGAAGTCAAGATGTGATTGAGATAGTTTTGCGTTTTTAGGTTTTGTATATTTTTTTGTGTAAATAAGTTAATAAAGATATGTTAGGTTAATAATAAGTGTTTTGTATTTTTGGCTGCCGCGCTGTCGGTAACAAGTTAAACAGCAATGTTAATTTAAGTTTGATTGAGGATTTCTGCATCGAGTAATATTTTAGTACAAATTACTTACATGTATGGACTTAGGTCGCAGGTCAAATAAAAGATTGTCAAAATAAAAAAGGAGTGTAATTAATAGCTTTTAATACGCCGTAAAATAATATTTTACAAATCAGAAAACCCCTTAGGTAAACTCATTAAAATACCACTTATAGTTTAGACTAGTTACTAATTATTGCTCCATATTCATTTAATTCTAGTTGCCTTCTATACAATTATTATCGTCAATGTGGTAGGCAGCGACAGATCGCCAGTCAGTCAGTGCGATGTAACTACTAAGTTAGATCGCAGTGTGGTGTAGGTAGGCAATGTGCGGTGGGTGACGTCACTTGTACTGTACACAATGTTTCTGGTAAACGGAAGACGTACAAGACCCCTTGACTAGATATAAACAATAAAATATATCGCATTGCAACATTGCAATTCTCGATTACTTACAAGCACTGCTCGCAAGTTTGCAATATTTTATTATACAGGTGATTCTTAATGGACGGAATTCGAAAATTTTCCCGTACAGCCAAAATAATGTGTTTACAATTTTTTTTTTCTTAAATAAGCTAGTAATTGGGATTTCATACTGTTTTCACTTTTTTTTTAATAACTTACACGAGAAAAAAGTAAGAAAACTTTGATTCTTAAAATATAATTTCTTTCTTTAACTTTGAGAAGCTGTAATACATTTTTTTAAACTAACGATTAATTGTACAAATTTTTTCAAAAACTGCGCCCATGCCTGTATCCTAAAACAAAAAAAAGTAATTACAGCTTCCTAAAGTGAAAAAAAGAATCTTTATTTCAAAGTAGGTTTAGAAAATTGTGCACCGTACTTTGAGCTTAAATGATATCTATTGAGGTCCTCTACCTTCACAAAGCCATTGAACCTTCCATTAAGAATCAATCTGTATTTTTGGTGTGTTGTAAAATGAAATCTATTACAATAAAAATATGACTACTGAGATTCTCCCACCCTGACATCGGAGCAAACAGACTTCATAACGAAATATTTCTTAAACTAAAAACATAATAGACCATACACTTACAAACACACACGCGCGCGCACACATAGAGACACACATATACAACATATGTTACATTGTTGTTTATTTTATGATGTACTTGTATTCATCTTTTGCCAATGGAATCGAACATGTACACATACTGAACGTTCTGTAGACAGTACACAAGCACTGGACTGGATTGGTGCTAGAGCGAGGGAGCGGTAACAGCCGCGTTGACGAGCTTCCCGTCCTGGGTCAGCTTGCCCTCCAGCGCTATCCCGATGAGCTTGTCG